TTACTGCAATCTACCATAATATTCTAAAATTACTTTAACATATTTTCTGCCGCTTGTTATGAGCATGTGAATTATGTCGTTACCTTTATGGTACGTTAGACACAGGCATGATAAGGTGTTTGGTCACATAATCAAAGCATAGTACAGGTGGAAGCTGCGAAGAGATAATTGTCGGACAGTTTGCAAATACCCTTATTTTACATACCAATTATGAAAGCAAACGGGTTTCAAAAAACAAACTTTCAAGTTTAAAAATTGCTTCTACGGGTGCAGTGTACTACTGCACATTCGTGGCTTTTGGGGAAATAGCAAATAGTCAAATAATGTTACTTACATACCTCCACAATAAAGCCCATAGCTCAGAATCTAAACATTTCTTCCGACAAGAAAACTTAGATTCTACTTGCAAAAAACATGGGATAATTCCTAGTGTTACCAAGCGCAAAACTTCGTTTGATGAAAATAACAGGAAATTGCATGCCCAAAAACAGATTAAACTCTCTTTCAGAAAGCTCAATCTATTTATTTTTCGTCATAGAAATATTTTTTGAAAATTAGGGAGAACGCTAACCTCTAAAAAGAAGTTTGAATATGATGACTCTTAAAACACTAAAACATTTTATAAGGACATGCTCCACCAATAAATTCAAAATATCTCCCAACCCTCTGTGCAATGATTCTGCGCTCCAGTGCAAATGCCTGCAGGTTCCATTCGTACTGTAACCTCAGAGATGGATCCACTCCGCGACATTTGTTGTTTTTTTGCCTTTACACTTCGGTTTTCATGTGCTAAAACAGTTTTTGACTTTCTTATTGTTAGAGCAGTTTTTGCAGGTCAATCTTACAATGGGCTTCTTCTTGTCATTTACGCGGTTAGTAACTTAAATTATTCTGCAAATTGTAAACTTTCTCATGGAGTTAATTCTAAATTGTTTGTTGCATGCTTTCATTGAAATGACTGATCATTCTAGATTTGCCGCCAAAACTGCTCTAGTAGCCGTTGCTGTAAAGTTATCGATCGACAACGACATCTGGTCTCTTAACACTACTAACGTGAGTCTGAACTAAGTTTAGATTCTTTTAAAAACATGCATAACATGCTCATTGGTGTGTTTACAGTATTGAAAACTGTGTGAATAATCCAGTAGTTTATTAAATTTCTGAATAGAAATCCTCTTGTATTTTTGGACTTTCTTTCTTACTCATCTAGTTTATTTCTTCATATGTTCCAATTTTTTGGTGGAGCGGAATAATAAGAACTTTGCCGAAGTCGCAGCAGTAGAGACATTTAGAACGAGATAGTTTCTGAAAACCTGCGAATGTATAACAAAAGGAAACCAATAATATGCATAAAATTGGTATACATAATCAAAATTAGCGTAAACTAACTTCCCCACCATATATCTTTTTCTTAATCTCTTTGATTTGTCTATATTATGTGCTCAGGGTGCTGATCTTTATGAGAAGTTGAAAAGGTACATCGTCCCAGGTACCATCGTCTATCCAGAGCAGGTAAGCTTCAGCGATCCCTTAGATCCGTTTTCTATCATTTTTAATTGCCACGTTTCAGCTTCCTTCTCCTGAAGAAGTGACAACAGATATAGAACGAGTCTGGAACAAAGGAGTGAATAAGGTGATCATTCTGATCTCATCCCCTTTTCAGTCCCATACTTCTATTGAAATTTTTTTTTACATAATTATTTTTCCTCAAATTTACCTTTGTATATTGCTTCATGGTTATGCTGTTTCCATATAAGTTACAAGTTGAAGAAATATTGGATACTTTGTCTCGCTTTGCGCATATATTCCCAATGT